TTATGCATTTGTCAAAATCCAGGGAACTGTATAACATGAAGAGTGAAGTAATATGAAGTTCATACATATAAGTTCTAATATGAACTCTAATATATCAGTTAATAATAAATATATCAATAATGTTCATCAACTGTAACAAATGTACCACACTAACACAAAATGCAGACAATAGGGGAAACTGTACAGGAAAGAGATGGTACACGGGAACCCTTTGCATTATCCAGCCATTTTGGTTAAAGTTGTATTGATCTATTTTTATTCAGTTATGTACACTGTTTTAAAAACACCACTACTGGGTATGATGGTGCATGCCTGATATCCCAGCAGTTTGGGAGGCTGTGGATCCTAAGTTTGAGGCCAGCCTCAGCAATTTAATGAGACCCTAAGCAACTTAGTGAGACCCTGTATCAAAACAAAAAATAAAAAAGTCTGGGGAAATGGCCCCGTGGTAAAGTGCCCCCAGTTCAATCCCCCAGTCCATATATATGTACATATATATGTATATACGTATGTATGTATATATGTGTATATACACATACATATAATTATACTTATAAATATATATATATATTTTTATGTGTAAAATGGTCAGTTATATATGTATATGTGTGTATGTATGTGTGTGTGTATATATATGTGTGTGTGTGTATATATAATTTATATATATATATATATATCTGGAGATGAAATGAAATCTCTGTGCTCGTTCTTCTCTGTGTGGTGGAATGTATATGTGTGTGTGTGTGTGTGTGTGTGTGTGTGTGTTACACACATTCCACCACACAGAGAAGAACGAGCACAGAGATTTCATCTCCGGGAATACACCAAAAGAATTAAAAACACAAACTTTAACAAACACATATATATCTTCATAGCATGATTCAAAATTGAGGAAAAGTAAAAATAACCCAAATGTCAATCAACGGATTAATGAATAAATAAAATGTACAAGTACACACACACACAATGGAATATCATTCGGCCCTAAAAGAGAAATTTTGCTGGGCACAGTAGCACACTCTTGCAGTCCCAGCTCTTAGGAGGCTGAGGTAAAAAAAAAAAAAAATCACTTGAGCTCAGTAGTCTGCAGCTAGCCTGAGCAATACAGCAAGCGCCCATCTCAAAAAATTAAAAAAGGGAAATTTTGACATAATATGGATGAAGAAGACATTTTGCTAAGTGAAATAAACCAAATACAAAGGACAAATATTTAGGATTCCACTTAAATGAGGTCCCTAGTACATTCAGTTTCATACAGACTGAAAGTAGAACAGGAGTTGCCAGGGAATGATGATAGGGGAAGATTTGGGAGTTATTCTTTTGGGGGGAAATGAGAAAGTTGTGAAAAATGAATGATGGTTTGGTCGCTAACAATGTGAATGTACTCAATTATCATACATATGTACACTTAAAAATGGCAGAAGTGGCCAGGTGTGTTAGCACGTACCTAGAATCCCAGCCACTCAAAAGGCGGAGGCATGAGGATCACAAGTTCAAGGCCAGCTTGTGCAACTTAGTAAGACCCTGTCTCAAAAATAAAATAAAAGGGCTGGAGGGGTAGCCCAGTGGTGGAGTGTCTGCCAAGCATGTGGGAAGCCCTGGGTTCAACCCCCTGCACTAAAGAAAAAAAGAAAAAAAATAGTACATTTTATGCTATGTATATTTTACCAAAATTATTTAAAAAGTGCTAGAAAACTAGTTATATGTGTATGCACACACACACACACACACACACTCTCACACTCACTCTTCTTCATTATACCATACATATAAGCAAATTCCACAGCAAAACTTTTTTTAAACTTTTGGGGAAAAAATTGAGGAATATATAATTCATACCCTGAGATAAAGAAATTTTTCTTGACCCCCCCCCAACACAAAGACAAGCCACTTGAGGAAATTTTTCATAAATATAACATTAAAACTTATATATAACTAAAGACATTCTTAACAAAAGGAATGGAAAGCCTCAAACTGATAAGATGCATTTGGAACACAAAAATCCATCATAGAATTAGCAGCCAAAGAAACAATTATTCTTCAGAAGTTAAAAGATGCAGAAACTGTGATCTAAATCTACACGTGAATATGCTCTGCAGTTAAAAACGGGCCATATCTATAAGTATCAACAAGGTTAAATCGCCATTAATTATAATTCAAAAATGTGCACCCCTGTGATCCAGCAATTCCACTTTTCATCCACTGGACAATGGCCATTAATAAGGAGAGGACTGATAACTACAATATAAGACAACATATACTAACATAAGAGATTGTTAAGAAGACTCAGATCCCTATGTTCAACCCAAAAAAAAATCTTTTAGGAAAGAGAGTTGCAAAATGAGGTGGACAGTATGATGTCATTCATGCAGGGGGACATGATTTTTTTTTCATATTATCTATATATTCATGAAAATGCATAGAGAAAGATCTGGAGGAAGTACAATAAACTGCCAATTACAGTTCCTATAGAGGACTAAGTAGATCAAGGGGGCTTTTACTCTGTCTGTACCATTCACAAGCAAGTGTGCATCCTGAGCCACTTGTAGAATCACAGCACACAACCACACAGACAGCGATGTAACTCCAGGAGCCACCAGACATAGGGACTCCAATTCAAACAGCACCCCTAAGGCTGGGCAATACACAGCCTGCACAACTACACACCACAGATTTAATATTTGTATAGTAAGAAATGTATAAAATGGGAAGCTGACTGCAAACCAGCATGAGGAACTTTCTATACTTTGACTAGAATAGTGGTTACAAAGTACATATACTTTTCAAAACTTCAACTCTAAACATGAAGTCTGCATTTTATCATATGTACACTATACATCAAAAAAGTTCATTTTAAAATAAATACAAATTGCCAGGCACAGTGGCACATGCCTGTGATCCCAGCAACTTGTAAGTCTGAAGACAGAGAATTGTAAATTTGAGACCCGCTTGGACAATTTAGCGACACCCTATCTCAAAAAACAAAAAAAATATATATTTTTTTTTTTGAAGGGTTGGAGATGTACATTAGTGGTAGAGTACTCCTGGGTTTTATTCCCAGTACCAAAATAATAAAATTAAATAAATATAAATTAAGTATCTAAATAAAATACTGGAAGAGTCAGTATTTTATTTAGATATTTATGCTTAAGGAAAGCTTTGTATAACATAGGCACCCCAAAGCAAGAACTAGTACACACGTGCTGGTACCCTGAATTACACAGTACTAAAATGAAAATTAACTTACTACTTCAAGGCTTACCACACAATGCCAAGTTGTCTCTCAGGCCAAATTTAGTGGAACCTAAAAATCTTGCCAGCACTACCTTGACTGCACAACCCCCTTCAAAGGCAATTCCACTTAAGTCTGATAAAAATCCTCAGAGAACTCATAAAAGGTCAAGTTTTAATTTGGCAGACAAAGTAACCCAACAGGCACTGCAACCCAGGGAACCAAAATAGCAGCTTGGAGCTGGAGAGTCCAATCAAGGCAGAGGACAGGTAAAATTCTGGCCTTGATTTCAGAGCAAGAACACTTTTTTTTTTTCCTATGGATCTAACATCCAAATCCAAGAATCGGGATAAAAATGACAAAGTATTTTCTAGGCAAAAGCGCTCTCTTTCCTCCTCAAAGGACAAAAAAAAAAAAGCCAATGCTAGAAGGATCAGAATAGGATGATCTCGAGCAACTGTCCCAGGAGCAAGCTCCTCACAGCCAACCTACAAGGAACACGAGAAAGTGGTAGCATGGTCACAGGGATGATTCCATCGCCTTTGCCATTACTTTAACATGCCCAGCTCTAAGAACCTACTGTTACCTCACAAGGCAAAAGACAAGAGTGTGCGCTTGAGGGACATGGTAAGTCCATCAACCATCCCTAACACTAGAATAATTGTTACTGCTCTGTATAAAATGTAGGGAAATCTTGCTTCGTTCATTCATTCACGGCAATGGGCATTTATTGCACGACTGTTGTGTGCCAGGCCACATTCTGAGGATTTAGCAGCGAACAGTAATGGAGCTGAATTCCAGTTGGGAAGGAAGGGAACTTCCTTTCTTTCCAAATTTATTTTCCCCCTCTCCTTTAAATGTCACGCAGAAGAGCCTTCAAAACTTTCCCAAATTCCTCCCACAAGCTTTTCTTGACCTTCCTACTTTATCCCAAAACCAAGCAATTCACAGATCCAATTTCCCAATACTGAGAAAATACGAAAGAGACCTAAAGTGAGTAAGTCATGAAACATAAAATTCAATGCTACTTGGTTATTTTACATGCATACCTAAATTGTTAACACCTCGACAGCAAATTATGGTTGTGTTTTATACTATTTCGAGGCCCAGTGCTGACCACGGTTTTCTACGCACAGTAGCTAATCAATAAACGTTTGCTAAGAATGCTGAAAGGTCTACCTAATCCCAAGGCCTGGCACTGGAATTTAATAGCGAGCATTCGTTAGCTGCATCCTTCCTCCTCTCAGGACACTTTCCTTTCCAGGATGACCTCGTGAGCAGGTTGGCTATTAGGCGCCTCGGGAAACAGCGTTTGGGGAATAAATTCCTTTCTCTCTGCCAGGGCCTGCCTGCTCACCTGCCCTCTGCCAGGACCTGCCTCATTCGCCCCCTTCCACACCTAACGCACAGCCTCCTCCCAGCGAGTCTGGCTCAGCAGCATCTGCCCGGCGTCCGCACCCGGCTCCGCCGCCGGGAGCCCACGGCGCGCTTGGGACCCGAGAGACCCCTCCCCAGGGGGGACTCTCTGCCCCGCCGCGCGGCCGGGACTCCGCAGCATCCCCTCGGCTCGCCCCTCCTGGGCCGAGAGCGCCGCGCGCGATGCAGCGGCCCCGGCTCCCAGCGCGCCGTCCCCGCCTCCTCCGCCCCGCACCCAGCAGGCTCCCGCGGTCCGGACGCTGCGCGGGTTCCCTTCCCGTTCTTCGCGGGCGCGAGGCTCCAACCCCGCTCTCCGCTCCCGCAGCCCCGGCGGCCGCCACGGACTCCGTACCTGGCTCGCTTCCCGGGGAGAGCTGGGGGCGTGGGGAAGGTCTCCAGTAGCCGCAGCCTCCTCCGCCTCGTTCGGCCCGGCCCCCTCAACTGAGGCGGCTGCGGCGCCCGCTCAGGCCCCGGAGCCGCCCCCGCGACGAACGTTCCCAGCGCCCGGCTCGCGCCGTTCCCCGCCCGGCACGCGCAGCGAGCCCGCCCCCGGCGCGAGGGCGCGAGGGCGCGAGGGCGGAGGGGCGGGCGCGCGCCGCCAGCGCGAGCGCGCGGCCGGGGCGGGGCTTCCGCCGCGCCGGGGAGGGGGCGGGGAGGTGGGCCGCGTTCCCTTCGAGCCCCGCCCCCGCCGCCCAGCGAGACCCGCCCCCGGCTCTCCAGCGGGTGTGGGGCGCAGACCGACCTTGCCCGCTCCTGGCCTCTGCAGCTCTGGCTGCGGCGGAGTGGCGCTTCAACTCCACAGGTATCTGCCCCGCCAGGTGAATGCTCTGCTTGATGTGACTACAAGGTAAAGAATGCAAAGAACCATCCCCGTGAATCATTCATCCGCCCCTCTCTGGATAATCCTGTCCCGGTGACTTTCCAAATTAACTCAGCAAGCTTACTGAACACCGACTCTGCGCCTAGCGCTGCACCAGGTGCCGTGTGGGTACAAGGTCATGGTCACGGCCCCTGGTCTAAGGAGCGCATAACTTAGAGGGAAAAGCAGTCGTGTATAAACAACCAGGTCTAGTGACCCGTGCAAAGGCAAGCCACAGTCAGATGCTATGCTAGGATGAGGAAGAGATTACTTCCGCTTGACGTGCAGAGGCGTTCCTGGAAGAGGTGCATTTGTGTTCAGCCTAGAAGAAAAAAAAAAAAGAAGTCCTAGGAAAAAGCCAGGAGGGCATTAAGACTCGGTAGAACTTGAGCAAAGAAGCACAGGTGACCAAGATTTACCAGCTCAGCACCTTTTTAATATTGTGTGTATGTGTATGTGTGTGTGTTCCTTTCCAAACTGTGTGAAATATAGGAGAAGGTGCCAAATTAGGAACAGCCAAACCTTTTTAATGGCCCAAGTGATCATTTTTCTCAACATTTTTTAAGACTCAAAATGGCAACGTCCTTTAAGAGTTATAAAGCAACCCCAGGTCAATGCGCTTTGAGTTGAGTGGTTTTTACTGCTTTTTGGCACCTTATGGTAAGGCAGATCGAGCCACCTCCTGCTGCGGTCTGCCTGCCTGCCTTTAGAACACCCTCTTCCTTCTCTCATCTGCCTATTTTTAAACTCCTATAATGAGGAAAATGCTTATAACCAACTTTAAGTAAGAGTAAACAGTTTCTTCAAAAAAGAGTATCACCTTTCACACATGGCTTGTGCAAATATTTTGCATACCAGAGAGGACTAAGATACTAAGATACTAAGACTAAGATACTCAGAATAGAGGTAAGAGACATCTAGTTTATTTTTTTTAATATTTTTAGTTGTCAATGGACATTTTATTTATTTATATGTGGTGCTGAGACTCGAACCCAGTGCCTCACACATGCTAGCCACTGAGCTACAACCCTAGCCTCTAGTTTATTCTTTGACCAATTATTGAGCATCTATTACAGAAAAGGCATTGAAAGGGTAACTCACTGATTCTCTTCTTTAAGAGAAAGGTGTAAGAGATACAAAATAAATATGTAGAGGCTGGAGTTGTGACTCAGCGGTAGAGCACTCACCTCCTACATGTGAGACCCTGGGTCCGATCCTCAGCACCACATAAAAAAATAAATAAATGAAATAAAGGTATCGTGTCCAACTACAACTAAAAAATAAATAATATTTAAAAAATAAATAAACAAATATGTACATATTGCTTGATGTGTTTGCCCAATTGATAGAAACCAAGGTTTCAGTATGTGAGCTAGACTCATAAATCAATTTTGGAATTAACTACTTCAGGTGCACTTGTCCTCACATCTTTCCATCTCTGTGTTTTCATTACCTCCACGTCCTCAGAAAACCTTTCAAACATCTTTCACTAATTCTTTCCCTAATATTCCAAAATTATTGACTTTTCTTGTTTACCTGTTCTATTTCCTACCTCATCTATATATGTTCAAGCTCTTCCAGTCCTGGGGTAGGGGCAGAAGGAAGAAGTTTCCACCATGATTACTATTCCCTCTGTATTTTTCTTCTCAAATGTCTTGAAAGCCATCTGAAGTCATTACCTCCTCAGAGGCTTCTCGCTCTTCAGTCCGTGGCTCTGCTCCACCACTCCACTGCCTATTCTTAGTCATTAATGCTTCTTTTGATCCTAAATGCTATGGCCCAGTTAAGTCTTCATTTTACTAGAACTTCCAGTGGCACTTGACTATACAAGCGTGCTACTCTTTTTGAAACATGGCTCCATGACATGATTCCTCTTTTAACCCCTTTAGCCACTCAGTTTCCAAAATTCTGTCCTCAGCTCATCTCACCCCACACCTTCTCCCTGAGCCATTTCACATACTCCATATCTTCATCTATCACCCATGGCTGCTACTCCAAATTGTATTATCACTAACTTAGGCCACTCCTCTAGGTTCCTCATGCACAAAAGCCTACCAGAATATCCTAGAGACCTCAAGCTCTGCATTTCAATAGTGTATGGCACTACTGTCCATCCAGTTGCCCATTCAAACACCTCTAATTAACCTTTATTCCTTGTTTCTCCTTGCTGCTTCCAATAATCAAAGTCCTTTCCTTTTGTTGTTGTTATTGTTTTGTTTGTTTGTTTGTCTTTATACCAGGGATTGAACCCAAGGGCACTTAACCACTAAGCCACATCCCCAACCCTTTTTATGTTTTATTTTGAGACAGGGTATTGCTAAGTTGCTTTTAGCCTTACTGAGTTGCTAATGCTGGCTTCGAACTTCTGATGCTCCTGCCTCAGCCTCCCAGGTAGCTGGAATTATAGGCATGCATCACTGCACCCAGCTACAAAGTCCTCTGGATTCTACTTCATTAATACTTCTAGAACCTGTCCCTCTTAGCTCTTCTCAGCTAGGCTAGTGCAAGAACCTTTTATCTGCTTCCCTACTCTTCCTGTATCTCCGGTTTCTTCTAATCCATGTTCCATATGCGGGTTGTAGAAAACTTTCCAAATGTACCGCACATGGTGTCACTACACAGCGTGGCACACAGACCCTCCATTAATCTAGCCTTTGCCTATCTATCCATTCCATCTTGTGTTGCTGTCTCCACACACACATCACCCAAATTCCTGGAATGTTTCTGCTTTCCCTAACCTCCATACCTTTGTGCTTGTTTTGCTTTTTGTTTGGAATTTCATTTGAATAAAAGCAAAGGGTATGCAATGTAAGTGTAGTTGAAGTTCCATGTATTTTTTTTTCTCTTTCCATATGTTTTATTGGTACAATGTAGTCATACATAATAATGGGATTCGTTGTTACATATTCATACATACATACAGCTTAACTATAATTTGGCCAACATAACCCCCTAGCACTTCCCACCTCCCTGCATACTCCTGCCCCCTGGTTCCTTTCCTTCAGTGATCTCCCTTCTATTTTCATAAATCCTCTCTCCTTCTTTTCCTTTTTCCTCTCTAGTTTCCATATATGAGAGAAAACATGCAACTCTTGACCTTCTGAATTTGGCTTCTTCCACTTAACATAATGTTCTTAGTTCCATCCATTTTTCTACAAATGACATAATTTCATTTTTCTTTGTGGTTGAATAAAACTCCATTGTGTACATATAACACATTTTCTTTATCCATTCATCTGTTGATGGACACCTAGGCTAATTTACAATCCCACCAACAATATAAAAGTGTTCCTTTTTCTTCACATCCTCTCCAAGCATTTACTATTACTTGTATTTTTAAAAAATATTTATTGTAGTTGTACACAATATCTTTATTTTATTTATTTATTTTTATATGGTGCTGAGGATCGAACCCCAGGCCTCCCATGTGCTAGGTAAGCACTCTACTGCTGAGCCATAACCCCAGCCCTGTTATTTGTATTCTTGATGACTGCCATTCTGACTGATATGAGATGAAATCGCAGTATAGTTTTGATGATGTTGAAAAGTTCCATGTATGTTGAAGCTATACTCCAAGAAACTTTCTGGAAATAAGAACACATAAACCTATACAATGGAATGGCTCACATGTACCTGAGGAACTTACCAGAGAATGATCAACTCTGAGAGCTATACTATTAAAATTATTAGATATAATAATAAAAATAATAATAACAGCCTCCAAGGCCTTCAGGCAAAAAAAAAAAAATCAAATTGTTTAAAAGGAAAATTAGGCTGCAGGTCATTAAAGATGGAGACAAATTCTTTTCACTCCTTTTGATCTAGGCTAGCCTTAGTGAACTACTAGTCAATACAATATGTGATATTCTAGGATTTCCAAGCCCAGGGCACTAGAGCTCTTAAGTTATCCACCTGGGTCTTTCTTTTATCCATCTGGGAACACTTTCTTTTAAAGCCCTGAGCTGTTATGGAAAGTATCTCACTTCCTGTGGAAAGGTCCTGAGACCACACTGAGAGGGAGGACATGGTCAATCCTGGCTGATACCAAGTGAAGTCATCATTAGCGCTCTGACTCAGCCCAGACATCAGCTGAATACCTCTGAGTGACCTCCTCTGAAGTCATGTGGAACAGAAATATCATCCAATCAAGACCTACCTATGTAGGTATGTGGTTCCAAGGAAGAGAACTTATCTAGCATGTACAAGGCCCAGGGCTCAATTCCCAGCACCTTAAAAAAACTAACAAAAACAAAAGATCTATATATCAGGTATTTAGTGCATGCCACCAGTGAAATGACTGGAACCCAGCCCCAGCTCCCTGCCTCTTTTCCAAGAGATCCTTGTTTTCTAGAAGTCACCCAGATATTTCCCTTGGGCAGAAGTAAGGAAGCCCCACAGAAGGCAGGTGGCTTCCTGGGATGGAGAAGATAATCTGAGGATGTGCTTGGGCTAAGTCCTTTCCCGTCTGCTTTGTGAGCCTGCCTGTGGCTGCAGGTTAGGCTGTAAGACCCAGAAACCCACCTAAGCTTTTGCAGGGACACAATTAAACCCTTAATAAGTGTCCATCAATAAAATGTAATAGCTCCAGATGTTTACTTGCACATGCAAGTAAACTGAGCTACTCAGAAGGCTGAGGCAGGAAGATTGCAAGTTACAGGCCAGCCTAGGCAACTTAGCAACACCCTGTCTCAAAATGAAGAATAAAATTGGCTGGGGTGAAGTTCAGTGGCAGAGCATCCCTGGGTTCAGTCCCCAGTGCTGGAAAAAATTTTTAAAAAGTAATGGGAACACAGCCCTGCTCATTCAAGGGCTATATGTGACAGAGATTGTACACAAAGCTTCAAGAATTTACTGTGTGACCCTTTACAGAAAAAGTTTGTCATTCCCTGCTTTAAAGGATAGGGTGGGGTGGGAGATACAGTTCAGTAGTAGAACACTTGCCTACCATGCACAAGGCCTTGGGTTCAGTCCCCAGCAACACCTACACA